AAATCCCAGACAGGAGATGAGAGATGTGCTGACATAGTAAATGACAGCAGTAGCTGGGCTTCCACTCTTTAGGTCCTTTTCAAATTTAAAAGCCTAAACATAGATTGAAAAAGACGGAAGCTGTAATATTTAGTTGTCTTGCGGAAATTAATTTCTGGTTTCCCGTTAAACAAAAATGTTTTCAGTCTTTCTTACCAAATTAAATTTAAAGTTAGTGGTGTTTTTAACATCAAGAAGAGACTCCACCAGTGTTATGTATAAACCAATAGATCAGATCACCATTAATACCTCCCAGTTACATTAAAAGAAACTTATATTAAAACATTAAATAGGCCTTATATATCAATTCTGCGGCACTGATCCCATTCTTTTTAAGCTTTTTAACATACTTGGAGTAGACAGGGTTAGTCATAATGTTGGACTATTTATTTTATTTCTTATGTGTTTTCACTACCAGCAGACGCAGAAGGTGTGGGTTTGTATAGTGGGAGAGAACGTATGTGTTTGTTTTAATGTTACTCTGCTAGTTGTTCTTGTGTCAGTGCATTTTTAATGATAATTTTAAATATGTATTAATATGATTCTATGTTATGTGTTTGAGGATCCTCTAGAAAAGGATATGGGGCATCAAAAGGGTTCGCCAATTAAACTTTTATAACTAAAAATCTTAACATTGTATGTAAGTAAAGATCCTTGTTTTATTAATTTTAAGTTGGGTATCTTTCTTTTACATTGGGAAAAAAGGATATAGTGCACATTGACTGTAAATTGGTTTTATTAAAAATGTCATGTTTGGTGTCATATGGAAACATTTGGTGTGTGTCAGTGCTACTAAAGTTTGTAAAATTCCATTTTTATAAGAATATATTGTTACGTGTAAAAATATATCATTATTGCTATACAGCTTCTTCAGCTTATTTTTAAAGTGGCAGGATTTTTTAAATGTACTGCAATCTTTTGAAAATAGAATATGCAAATATTGTATCTGTAATTAAAAATCCATTAAATAGTCACTAATTTGTATAAATGTCCAATAACAGGATATCAAAAAGAAACTAAATGAGTATTTTAAACACATGTTTTAGAAGCAAAACTCTTTCACATTAAAAATTATTAACATAATAGATGTGAAAAGGAAAAAGCTTAAATTTCTTTCATTTATCGTATGTAAAACATGGTAATACTTAGCTGGAAGCATAGCTAATACTGCAGCTGTTGAGATGAGGGGAGGTGTAGTTAGCAATGTTGTCAGCCATCATGCTCTGAACTCCCATGCTCGGAAAGGAGGGAGGGGTAGCAGAGAAGATTGAGTAAAGGGAAAACAGAAGAAGAAGAAGAAGTTCAAAGAGTCAAAGACAGGTGCAGACAAGGGGCAGGGTGGGAGGGGTGGCATGCCCTGGGTGAGCCACCGTGATACCTTGTTCCACCAGCCCTGCTGTGGTGCCGGCGGCTGCAGCCACAGCTGCTGCAGCTGCAGTGACAGAGGCTGGAGCGGTGGTCTGCCTGCTGCCCACTGTTAAGAGTCAAATACCCAGTCACACATGAAGAAAGAGTTACAAAGCCAGGAGGAAAGGAATGTGAGAAAAGGGTGAAAGAGGAACAAAGGGTCAAGATGGAGAAAGGGTGGAGTGATATTAGTAAGAAGGTGATTGACGAGGAGTTGGATACAACAGGAGGTAGGCAGGTAGGGTGGGGGAAGGAAATAACAGGTGAGGAACAAAATGGGCGGAGACACACGGGGCTCATTAGTTTAGAAGGAGGATTAATTTATATACACAGACCACTGAAAGCATTTTTATAAATGGAGTCGCTGCTTTGACAGAAGAATCCACAGAAAAACATCAGGCAGTGACACAAATCGTTACTTCCATGTGGGACACTTTAAATCTTGCCATTTGTCTCAAAGAATACCTGAGAAGAGTGTTAATGTTAGGATGATGATGGCAATGATGA